TATCCTTCTCTCCTTCTGCCACCGCGCTCATTATCCTCCTCCTCTTCCTCCCCCTCTCTCTTCTTCCCCTCATTATCATCCTCGTCCTTCTTATGATCTTCATCCTCATGCTCATGCTCATGCTCATCCTCATCAGCATCATCATCCTCATCAGCATAATCATCATCATTCTAATTATAATCGTAATCATCATCATCACCATCACCATCACCATCACCATCACCATCATCATCATCATCATCATCATCATCATCATCATCATCATCATCATCATCGTCGTCGTCGTCGTCATCAACATCATTATCCTCATCCTCGTCCTCATCCTCATCATCATCATCGTTATCCCACTCCTCCCCCTCCTCCACCACCTCCTTCGTCCTCCCTCTAACAATTCCTCACCTGTTCCAACTTCTTCTCCTCCTGCTCCCTCCTCTTCGTTATCCCCCTCCTCCTCCTCCTTCTCCTCATTCCTCCCCAGCCTTTCTCCCTTGTCTCTTCTTCTGTCCCCCCTTTACCGCTCCCCTCCTCTCTCTCTCATTCTCTCTCCTCCCAGCGCTGCGCGGCGTGGCGGTCCTCCTGCAGCGGGGCGGAGCCCTCCGCCACGCCGGCCAGCGGTATGGGGGTGCCGAATACGTCCGTCCACCTCTCGCGGGAGAGGCGAGGCGTCCCGCCCCGTTTTCGGCAACTCTTGGGAGGTCTTCGCCGGCCCCGTGAAGGACTACTACAGTCGAGCTCTTTTGCTTGGTCGCCGTCTCGAGAATGAAGACGCCGGAGAGAAAGCCGCGGCCGACGCTCCACACCTCAAGCAAGCCCTTCCCCGCACGAAGGAAATTAGCACATCGGGCGTGCAAAGGGGGAGGGGGAGGGGCAGGGGGAGGGGCGGAGGACACATCTCGGCGGGCACTCACAATCAAGCTACTACCACAGGAAAGGTTAAACAGGCGCGAAGCCCGTTTTTGCCTCCTCAATTGCGGCCGCGTGCACGCGGAGCGATGAAGCAGCAACAATGGAAGGACCTAAGGAATAGCAAGCCTCCTCCGAAGCCGAACTGCTACGCACATTAGCGTCTCGACTGTACCAGACCAAATCCGTGTGCCTCATGTTGAATTTTGCCGGACTGGGCGAAGCATATCCAAGTATTGCACCAGATTGCGCAAAAGCAGGCCGCGTTGAGCCAGACTGGGCCAGATCGGGTCTGGGGAAGTACCAGAGTGGATGCTTAATCCAACCTTCCAGGAGTTGCAACCTGACCCAAGGAATGCTTCCTCTTCGAGGAGGGTCGAGGTTCAAGGACAGACGTGTTCGGGCATGGCTTGGAATTGTGGGCACCGCCCGCGGGAAGGGGCCCTTTGATGGACTCCATGGACTTCGCCTCCTCTCCCGTCTTCCTCGTTCTGTCTCCTTCCTGCATCCCCCTCTCTGGTGAGTAACTCCTCCTCGTCGCGCCACTAGACATGTAGCTAAGAGGGAGGGGGGGTTCGCGTTGTGCGAGGGCTCTTCGCCATTCATGACCCTAGCCCTCAAGCTTGGAATATCATTGATGCAGGGTGGCCCGTTTTCATAGTGTGGGTCTCGCACCAGCGCCGCGCAGGAATGTACTGCCACAGTTCATATCCTTGTCATTCTTCTGCGTTCGTGGCCAGCGTGGTACCAGGTGAGCAGCTGACGTCGCGGCTTTCCTGCAGCTGGCTGTTTGTGCACCATCGGATTTCTCCCACTGTGTAACCGGCTAGGCAAATGCGCAACACCTTTCTCTCCATGTCAGGATCGCACTGCTCCCGCGGCAGTTGCACGACATCAGAAGTTCTGCACTTTCTAATGTTCAATACTTTTGCCTCGGGATTCCACGGTGCAGGCTTTGTGATCCTGAGCACCCCCTTCGGTCATGGATTGGAGTAGGGTGAAGAGAGAGCCACTGGAGAAGGAGGAGTAGATCCGGCCCCGGGAGGCGAATAATGGGGAGGAGCAGGGAGGGAGAGAGGTGAGGAGAAGGAGGAGCAAGATCAGAATGGATCAGGGTGGGGCAGACCAATGTCCGATCATCCCGCATCTCCACGCTCCTGGGCCTAGAGGTCAAGACATCCGCTGCCCACTTTTCAACCCTGCCACTCGGCCGAGATCCTTCCTCAACTCGGGACGGGCAAAAACACTTCACGGCATCTTCCGTCATGGCGGCGCGGAGGGCCGCGGGTGGGCCCCATGCGAAGGAGACAACCCACGACGGATTCGCTTCAAATTCTCGGCCCCCTTCTTGATGGGAGGCTTGCATTCGCTCAAGGGGAACCCTGACTCCAGATGGGCTGGTTGGTTTTCCGACTTCAGGTTGTTTTGGGAATGCACCCAAAACGGTGCGAAACATTGGATTGGTAATTTCCGCTTCGGCAAAGGTGTGGCGGAAACAGCGACGGCAAAGCAGGGCGGCAATCGGCATCAAAGGAGCTTGAAAAGTAGGGCGGGCATCTCCGCCCTACTTGCGAGATCGCCCAAAGCACGGCGGATCCAGAGTCAGGGAAGAGGAGGCGAAGGAGGAGGAGACGACAGAGGAGGAGGAGGAGGAGGAGGAGGAGGAGGAGGAGGAGGAGGAGGAGGAGGAGGAGGAGGAGGCGAAGGAGGAGGAGGAGGAGGAGGAGGCGAACAGAGAGAGGAGGAAAAGAGGCGGCGGCGGCGGAGGAAGCGGCGGCGAAGGGCGGCGGCGGCGGAGGTGCGCCTCGGGTGCGCGGCGGTCAGCGACGTGACCACCACCCAGTCGAACTGACCTGAGGAAAGGGGGAGCGCACGGGCGGGCCGCCGACTGTGGCGGAAACAGCGACAGCAAGGGAAGGCGGAAATCTGCATCAAGGGGGCTCGAAAATGATGGCGGGAAATTTCCACCCAACTTGGGGAATCGCTCAGCTGATATCAGCTAATACAGCGGATCCAGAGTCAGGGGTGGCAGCTCCGATCAGACCCACACATCCTCTCGTCACGAGAAAAAACACGACGGGGATTTCTTTGCTGTTTTCGGCCCCCAAGGCCCTCGCCGGGCCCCGGGACCGTCAACAAAACAGCCTGCGAGGACAAGAAACCAGAAACCAGTCCCAGGGAAAGAGTTCGGACCTCTGGGTGTCGGCGCTGTGGGGGAATCACGACGTGGGAGCTCTGGGAGAGGCGGAAGGGCGAGCCCTGGGAGGCCCCCCCACATCTCCGTTTCTGGAGGTCGGCGGAATGGCGTAAGCCTCTCAAGTGGCACGTGAGGCAGCGTCAGACGAGGCTCCCGCTGTGGAAAGAGCCGCCCTGCATCCGTGCAGTGGTTGGAGGTGTTTGAGGCGAGCGTGAGCGAGGCCAAACATCTGTTCTTGCCGCAGGAGGCATCCGCAGCCATGGCCAGATCTCGCGCGGCCGCAGTGCTCATCCTCGCCCTCCTCGGGCACGCGGCTGCCGACGAGCAGGACGCGGACAGGTGCGGCAACGGCTCGGAGGAGGCGTGCTCCCGCATCCGTGCGGTTGTCGTCGTCGCGGGTGTCGGGGTCGAGAGCCGCCCTCCGTCCGTGCAAACCGTTTGGGAACTTGGCGCGTCAAAGTCGCACGCGGTGAAGGAACGTCTCGGGCGCAACGCCTGGCCTGCCCTGGCGGCACGTCTGGTGGTGTGGCCGGGGGGAGTCGCTCCGAAGGGTATGAAAGAAAGGACGAGGAGAAGGACAAGGAGGGGAGAAGAAGGGGGGACTGATGAGGGATGAGGGATCAGAGGGTGGAGGGTCGGGTAGGGAAGGCGAGGGGAACGGGGGAGGGGAGAGAGAGGGAGGAGGAGGGGGAGGCACGAAGGGAGAGCTGTAGATGATGATGATGCTGATGCTGATGCTGATGCTGATGCTGCTGCTGCTGCTGCTGCTGCTGCTGATGATGATGATGATGATGATGATGATGATGATGATGATGATGATGATGATGAGAAGGAGGATGATGAGGAAGAGAAGGAGGAGGAAGAGGGACAGGAGGATGAGGATGAGGATTAGGATGAGGATGAGGATGATGAGGAGGAGAAGGGCACTGATTAGGAGGAGGGGGACCAGTGCAAACCCAATACCCATCAACGATGTCGCAGTAAACCCTCCCTCCACATTCCATTTTCACAGGTCCCTGCAAACATGTATTTTCTATGCGGGAAGTGTTCCGTTGGAAGACAACCGTATGACGAACTGCAAACATGCCAACTCACCATTCCTGGGACTTGGTGCCAGAATACCACTCCTGGGACATCAGGACCGCAAATCAACGTGACTGTCGCGTCCTGACTATCCTAAACCGCACCGAAAAAACATTTCTGGGACGCCAGCGATAAGAATCCCTGAAACTCTTGTAAACTGTTGAAAAGAAAATCTTGCGCGAAAGCGAACACCACAATTTACAAAGCAACCGCCCTCGATCCGTGAAACGCTTGCGAACTCTGAAAACGAAAATGCGCGGCGCTGGGGCGATAACTGCATTCTGGAAAACAAGGCTCGGCTCCATCCGTGAAACTCTTGCGCACGTTTAAAGCAGATGTGCGCGGCGCTTCAACGAGTAACACATTTTTAGAACAGACCGCCCTCCATCCGTGAAAGTCTTGCGAACTGTCAAAACACATGTGCGCGGCGCTAAGGCGAGAACCACATGTTGAAAAAGAGCCGCCCGCAATCCGCGACACTACTGCAAACTTTTACAACGAATGTGCGAGGCGCGCAGGCGAGAGCCATATTTTGTAAACGGCCCGCCCGCCCACAATCTGTGAAGCTGTTGCGAATTCCCAGCTTCAGGATCATAAGCGGTGAGGAAGTCTCAAGCGAAATACTCGGCCCGCCCGACAGACCCGTCTCGGGGTGTGACAGGGAGGAGTTATCTGTAAGGAAGAGGGATGGAGGAGAAGGGTAGACCGAGGATCTCAAGGAGAGACGAAGTGAGTTGTGAAAGGGGAAGGGAACGGAGGAGGGCGGAGGGGAGCAGGGAGGCAGTGGGGAATGAGCAGCACAAATCATTGGAAGGGGCCACGGTGGGGGGATCAGCTGGAGCACGAGAAGCCGGACTCTTCCCGCCGCGCTCCGACGGAGCAGCACGCCGGGACCGCCGCCGCGACCTCAGCGCCCCCGCTCCGCCGTGGCCTGCGCCTGCTCCGCGACGGCCTCCGCCTGCACCACGGGGTAGACGCCGGTGGGCTCGGCGAGGGCCACGGGGTAGTCGCCGTTGACCTCGCCGCGCATCACCACGAGGTCTGCGGCGCCGTTCCCTCGGCACTCGTTGCCCGCGAGCTCGTGCGCGACGGCGCCGCGCAGGCGCACGCCCGCGCCCGCGTTCTGCAGCACGCGGCAGGCTACGACGCGAGCGCGCACCGCGTCGCCGGGCCGGGACCCCGCGGCCTCGACGGCGGCCCTGCTCGGGTCGCGCGTGCGGGCCAGGTGGCAGGCCCTCATGTCCAGCTCGCCCGACTGGTACACGTACACGCCTCTCCTGCCGCAGTCCACCACCTCGCAGTCGCGCACCGCGAGGCTGGTGTTGCCCCGGGCGCAGAGGCCGTGGATGGCGCAGGAGCTCACCGCGCAGCCCTCCACCAGCGCGGACGAGTGCCCGAACATGGCCACCCCGGAGCGCCCGCAGTCGGCAACGCGGCTTGCCCGCATCGACAAGTGCGCGCTCTGCACTAGCCAGATGCCGAGACCGCTCACGGAGACAACACTGACGTCGGCGAGCTCGGCGACAGAGCGCGCCATGAGGGAGATGGCCGCGCCAACGTCGGACCCGTCGCCGACGAGCGTCGGCGCCACGTGCCGCACGGAGAGGTTCCGCAGCTCGAGGCGCGCGTGGCGCCCCACGAGGTGGAATGCAGAGTACGCCGAGCTCTCGATCACGCAGTCCCCGAGGCCCGTGATGCGGAGCGCGTCCTTGATGGGCCAGTTTTCCACCACCACTACCATATGTAGGACGGGGAAGAAGGGAGGATGGGGAGGTCCTCCTCCTGTCCCCCTCTTCCTTCTCCTCCTCCCTCTCCTACCTACATATGGTAGTGGTGGTGGAAAATCGGCCCATCAGTCCTTATTCCTCTGCAGCCGCACCGTCTCCCGCAGCCGCACGCAGCTCCCGGGCGCCAGCTGCAGCTCCCGCCGCTGCAGCAGCGCGGCCCCGCAGGCTTCCAGGAACGAACCGCTGCCACCGCTGCCTGGCCACAGCAGCGGCCCCTCCCCTCAGATCCGACGACGCGACAAACTTGCAACATCGTGAAAGATTACGACCGGAGCTCTCTAGGCCCCAGATTTCGCCGGCACTCTTCGAGCCGCCCCTCCGATCAGATCCGACGAAGGGAAAAACTTTGCAACGTCGTGGAAAGCACCGCCGGAGCCTAGACCCCGAGTTCCCGCGGCAATCTTCGAGCTGGATCGATCTGTGGATGGCCCCGTCGCCCGAAGATCCGGGAGAAAGCGCCCTCCATGAGCAAGTTGCAACGCCTGGATCTCAGAGCCTCCACCGGCGCGGCGGGCACCGCCGCGGGCAGCTCCGCCGGCGCTGCTGCGGGCCCCTCCTCGTGCGCGGCCGGCGCCGCCAGGCCGCGCATCCGAGGCGGTCCGCAGGACATGCCGCGCCGCCTCGTCCTGTGGAGCTGCCGCCTCGCGGCCAGCGCGCACCGCTCCCAGCAGGCGGGCCGCGGGGGCGGGAGGGCGCGCCAGCTGTGTCAGGCAAACAACTGTGAGCCCCACCCCTGCAAGTCAGCTTATTCCTGGAAAACCGGCTGGTGTTCAGAGTCTGAGAGGATGTCTGCAGCCAAGGGAACCCCAGCGGGGATGTCCGATACCCAAGCGTCGATTGGGCCCGAAGAGGGTTCGCGAGTGGTCGCAGATGTGTGCACTTGCCGCCGGATCCCGGCCCAGGCCCATCGCCTGCTGCTCATTGGCGATGCGAGCCCCAATTTCTCACACAGCGTGCACCCTCACTCCAGATCCGCCGTAAATTAGGGGCGATTTCGCAAGCAAGGCGGGGATTTTCGCCCTGCTTTTCGGGCTCCTTCGATGTCGACTTCCGCCCTAGATTGCCGTCGCTGGTTCCACCATCACATATCCGCCCTACTTTGCTGAGGCGGAAATTTACGCCTTAGCTGGTCGCATCGTTTGGGTTGCATTTCCGATTCAAATTTGAATCGGAACGTCGGCTAAGTCTCTGACACACCGTGTACCGTTCAATCTCGAGTCGGACACGAGGAGGGGCTAGCAAAAGGGTGGTCAGCGAGTCAACTCGCACAGCTGGTCTTCCCAGCGCCTCTCGGCGCCAGATCGGCGGCCATGAGCGCCCGGCGCGGATGTGTCCGGTGATCACACGGTGGTTAGCACGCGAAGGCGTGTGGGCACCCAGAACTCCGACATCGTGGTTTTTGCTTGCTGCGTCGACCCCCAGAAACTGTTGGAATTCCCTGGGATCGATTTTTCGTCCCAGGCTGTGATTTTGACGGCGCAAAGGCCTGGCGAGGACCCCCCGAGGTCGAAACAGGCAAAAATCTCCCGTCGCGATTGCTCCACGACGAAAAGAGGTGGGGGAGCACACCAGGACGCGTTTGCACGCCGTTCCTTTTATGCCTCAAAGGGGGTGGGCCCTGGCCGGGATCCTCGGAGGAGGGTTAGTTGAGACCACGGCGGCTCTCCTCCCGGCTCAAAACTCGTTCAAAACCAGTCCCCCGTCCCCTCCGGGGTCCATCCTGACCCGTTCTTCGAGGCGGATCCAGCCGTGGCGATGAGAAGCTCCCAGGAGGACCAGATAGGACGAAAAACGTCAGGGAGGGCAGCCATTGTCTCGACTGGCCCTCCCCCGAGATCGGGCGGCACGGTGCAAATCGGGCGGCGCGGTGCACTCTGCGATTCGACGTCGCGAGCAAGTTGCAACATCGTGAGAAATCACGACGGGCGCCCCCGCTCGCATCTTCTGGCTGCATTTTTCGAGCCCGATCGATCTGAGGGGCGACAATTCCCGCTGTAAAAAAACATTGCAACGCCCAGATCTCAAGGTGAGCCACGGCCGGGATCCAGCTGTGCAGTGCAGACCCAGACTCCAGATCTGCCGTGTTTCGGGCGATTTCGGCCTCTCGCCCTGACTCCGGACCCGCCGTAATTATTGCGCACGCGAGGCGGAAAGTCCCGCCCTACTTTTTTTCAGGCTCCTTTGATGTCGCTGTCCGCCCTACCTTGCCGTCGCTGCTTCCACCACACCTCTGCGGCAAGAGCCGCTCCACTTTTCCGAGGCGGAGACTTCGGCTCCACTTGTTCGCACCGTTCGGGGCGCACTTCCACCACAAGTTCAGGTCGGAAACGGCGACTGGACAGCAGGGCGGAAACAGCGACGGCAAGGTAGGGCGGAACTCGACGTCAGAGGAGCCTGAAGCAAGGGAAGGGCGGAGATCCCCGCCCTACCTGCGAAATCGCCCAAAGTACGGCGGATCCGACTGCGCGGTGGAGAGCCTCTGGTGGTAACTCATGGGAGCCTCCCATGCCAGCTTGCTGGCTCCTGCGAGTCGACGCTGACTGGCGCGAAATCGACGCGAGTCGATGGAAAATCTACACCAAATCGACGCTAAATCGACGCCAAAGACGCTAGCGCACGCGACTGCACTCTAAAGGCGGAGTTGTTGCGAGGACTCGCAAGGCCCCCAGGATACGATGCAATGCGATATGATACGACCACCGCTGCGGACATCGTCCTGGCCTAGCTGAGACCAGGTGGGCAAGGCCTTGGCCTCAGCAATCTGCCGTGTCTGGACAACCTGCCATGCCAGGCCCCCGGGAGCTGCTACCAGCAGAGCCCGCGGCCCTCCCGGCAGGCGCAGAGCCGCCCACAGCAGCAGGGCCCCGAGCAGGCAGGCCTCCACGCGCCCGCGCCGCCAGGGCGGCGCGGCGCCGGCGCTGGCGGCGCCCGCGGCGCGGCACGCCCCGGGGCTGCGCCGGGTCACCAGGGCGGCGCGCCACGCCATGGGGCGAGGAGGGGACCCGAACCTCCTTCTCATCGTGAAGCGGCAGAGGGAAGCAAGCCGTGGACACTCCCCCCCTCTGCCCCGAATTCAGAGTTGGTGCGCGCGGGGCGCCGACTTTGATCATTGGGGGGGGGGGCATTGGCAGATGAATGTGGCATGCGTGTTCGCTATTTCCTTCCGAGGCCCGAAGCACCCCAACAAACAAAGCACCCTTACAGCAGCAAAGGTGAAGTGGCAGGTCGAGGACGGTAGGGGGTCGGCTATGGGGGCCAGGGGTGGGAGCACGGCCGTGTGCACCCTAGCGTATTTTCTGCCAGGGGCCGCGGCCCTCCAAGCATCAAGTGCAGCCGACGAAGGAGCGAGAACACGGCTCCTTGATTATACGCTACGAGGGGATCTCGGGCGAAACGGCTGCCGCACTGTCCGAACTGGGCGGTCTCGGGGTCCCCGTCCCCCCCTGTGGCACTCTCCTGCTGTGTTTTCTACATGTGTGAGAACCCTCTCGCGAAACGCCATGCGGGCAAAAATCGCGAAGAACTGGTTTTGTCAGTCTTCGTGCTCTGGGGGGCCCTCGCCACGCCCTCAAAAAGCGGCCCAGGGTGAAAAACCGTTCCTGGGGAATGGCTCCAGACCTCTGGGGAACCACGCTGCGCAAAAATCATGACGGCAGCGGTCTGGTGAGGGAGGGAGGGGCACCTTGAGATCCGGCGCTGCCAAAAAACCTGCCGACCCCGTCGGCATGTGTGAGGGGTTTTCCCTTTTCAGTCGTGGTCGTCGTCGCCGTCACCACTCCCCCCCTGTCCGGCACTCCCCACCCCCTGCTCGCTGCCGAGGTGTGCCGATAGGGCGGGGCGACCGAGTGTGGCGCCGTTGCTGTCGAGCAGCTCCACTCCCTGGCGGCGGCTCCGGGCCCGCCGAACTCCGACTGCGCCTCCGTGTTAACTTTTTTCCCAACCCTCCTGCGTTGGGCACTCGTTTTGAATAGAGCACTGCGGTCTCCACCTTACTTCCTTCCCGCCTCCTCCTCCTCTCTTCCCTCTTCCTCTCCTCTCTTGCTTCCCTTCTCCGCCTCTCTTCGCTCCTCCTCTTCTCTCTTGCATCCCTTCTCCTCTCTTCGCTCCTCCTCTCTTGCTTCCCTTCTCCTCCTCTCTTCGCTCCTCCTCTTCTCTCTTGCCTTTTACGTCATCCCTTTGGGGCTGCGATCTGTGAAACTGTCGCCACTTTCGAGGGCTGCTGGTGGGTCCAGCGGAGTGAGGCACCACGCAGATTCAGATTAGACCTCGCCATCCCTGGGGGGCTGCGATCTGTGAAACTGTCGCCACTTTCGAGGGCTGCTGGTGGGTCCAGCGGAGTGAGGCACCACGCAGATTCAGATTAGACCTCGCCATCCCTGGGGGGCTGCGATCTGCGAAACTGTCACCACTTTCGAGGGCTGCTGGTGGGTCCAGCGGAGTGAGGCACCACGCAGATGCAGATTAGACCTCGCCGTCCCTGGGGGGCTGCGATCTGCGAAACTATCGTCACTTTCGAGGGCTGCTGGTGGGTCCAGCGGAGTGAGGCACCACGCAGCAGATTAGACCTCGACTTTCGGGGGCTGCTCCAGCGGAGTGAGGCACCGCGTAGATTCAGATTAGACCTCGCCATCCCTGGGGGTTTGCGATCTGCGAAGTTGTCGCCACTTTCGAGGGCTGCTGGTGGGTCCAGCGGAGTGAGGCACCACGCAGATTCAGATTAGACCTCGCCGTCCCTGGGGGGCTGCGATCTGCGAAACTGTCGCCACTTTCGAGGGCTGCTGGTGGGTCCAGCGGAGTGAGGCACCACGCAGATTCAGATTAGACCTCGCCATCCCTGGGGGGCTGCGATCTGCGACACTGACGCCACATTCGAGGGCTGCTGGTGGGTCCAGCGGAGTGAGGCACCACGCAGATTCAGATTAGACCTCGCCATCCCTTGGGGGGCTGCGATCTGCGAAACTGTCGCCACATTCGAGGGCTGAGGGTGGGTCCAGCGGAGTGAGGCACCACGCAGATTCAGATTAGACCTCGCCATCCCTGGGGGGCTGCGATCTGCGACACTGACGCCACATTCGAGGGCTGCTGGTTGCGAAACTGTCGCCACATTCGAGGGCTGCTGGAGGGTCCAGCGGGGTGAGGCACCACGCAGATTCAGATTAGACCTCGCCATCCCTGGGGGGCTGCGATCTGCGAAACTGTCGCCACATTCGAGGGCTGCTGGTGGGTCCAGCGGAGTGATTCAGATTAGACCTCCATCCCTGCGATCTTCACCACTTTCGAGGTCCCGCACTGCACATGCAGGAAGGAGGCAGAGAAGCTGGCGCGCGAGCTAGGTCTCGATCGCTTCCTGCACTAGATATAAACAGGTATGATCCTGTGGACAGGCAGCAGGCATGCGTTGACCGAGCTCCTGCAAAAACGAAACAGTCTCTTGCTTCCTCCCTCCTCTTTCATCATCGCCGCCCTAGTCCTCCTGTTACCTTATGCATTCATGGTGCTGCTGCTGCGATGGCTCCTCGCCCCTTCCTACTGGGTTCGTCCTTCTCCTGTCCCTCGTTCCCGCCCCCGCTATTGTTTAACAAGCCTTGAGACATACTCCTCGTCTTATCGATTGCTGTTCTGCGAATCGTGCAACATTACGCATCCCATGTAGGTCGCACTACAAATCGCCGCGCCTGCACTGTCATGGTTCCTGCTAATGTTTCCCTACTCCGCTTGCCATTTGATGCCATTGGGTTGGGTACGTCGCAAGGCAATTCTTTGACGGGGGGAGATGGGGGCGGGCAGTTCGGGTGCAACTCATGGGAGCCTCCCATGCCATCTTGCTGGCTCCTGGGAATCGGCGCTATCCGAGGCTGAATCGACGATAGTGGACGCTAGTCGAAGCTTATCGTCGCCAAATCGACTCTAATCTGCGCTTTCTCATCGATTGCTTACCAGACGCTAACGCACGCTACTACACTCTAGC